TTGTAACCCCGTTACACTCTCTTCCTTGAAGATTGAGAACATTTACAGTTCCAATCGATGATTGCCTTAACGATCCTTGCGTGTCCGTTAGACACTGCGTTGGAACTAAACGACTTTCGTGCTCAATGATCCCTGTGTCAATGACACCGGAGTCTCCAAACCTCGCGGGTTTCGACAGCGAGCATGGGCAAAGCCCAACTTCGTCTTCCGCACGCGGTGCCATGTCGGACCATGAGACCGCGGCATCGAGGGATGTAAATACCAGGCTCAATGTACCCGAGCGTCGCGCTCCGCGCGCACTATCAGAGACGAGTGACCTTAATGAAAATGTGCAGGTGGTCGACTACGAGCCAACCACTCCTTTTTCCGGGTGGAATGACGAGGAAGGCGAGTCGCGCCAGCGGCGTGATACGATCCCTGCTCGCGCCATGTCAGTTTCCTGACCTCTCATCACCTGAGGGACGTGGTGTAATCACCAATGACCTCGATGAGGCACAGAAGCGGCAGCTGGAAGTTGTCCGTAAGGCGGCTCTGATGCGCGCCCATCCACGTCCGATCGTTGACCCTCGTGTAGAATATGGCTTCCGCCCAGTGGATCCCGCTGTGGAAGCGAATGACGCAGTAGCTCGATCGTACGTCTCCTCCCTGGCCAGAACGGAAGATGAGCTTGCCGAACGGAAAGCCCTTAGAGCTCGTTTCTTGGTCCCACAAGAATTTCCGTTGAAAGCTTATCGAACTCGTCTGCGTGCTCAACAAGGTGGCTCTCGTGTACCCGCAATGCGGACAATACCTGTAGTGCTCGCCCCTGGCGAAAGCGCTACAGATGACGAAGCGCTCTTTGAGCTATGGGTGCAACGGCACCGCAAACTTTCCTCACTGTATGCCTTACAGTTAAGCCACATGGAAGTGGACGTGCTTGTGGAGCGACACCTCTAATTTGAGCTTGCTAAACCCAAAGCACGTCGTCGACTCCCTTCGGATTGTCGCCCTGCGACGTATAAGTCAACACCTAACGCTCCCGCGAGCTCTGTGTCTGCGACCGCAATAGCTCAGGACCACCGCTTGAGCTCAGCTTATGGCCCTTCCACTTCCCTGGCTATTGCCGGGGAGCGTGGGGCGTCCTGATCTTTCTGATCAAAAGCGTCCACGGCGTCTGGGCAATCTTGCCGAA